GCCCGGTGTTCGGGAGGTCATGGGTTCGATTCCTGTCGGGGACTCAGAATTTTTCTTTGTCCCACGCTGGGTCCCATTTTGTAGAAAGAGTGATAAATTTCCGCTGCTTTTCAGAAAGTGACGAGAAAAAAAAAATGTTCCTGGTTAATTGGAACCTCTAACTTTCTACAACGTGTATGACACTAATGGGAATTTTTAGTTTTAATTCGTACACTGTACTGTTTTAAGTTTTAATATTTCTAATGTAATATGTATTTACCTTTTAGCTAGTCTGTCATGCATTTTCAACTTTTATTTACCAGAAGGTTCAAAATAATTTTACATATAGGTTTTTATATATTTTTAATAACAGCTGTATATTTAAGAGGGCCACAAGTTTATTAATTGTGTAACTATTAGGTGTTACCCTGTATAAATAAAGACTGAATTGATAGCATAGTTGATTGATTGATTGATTGATTGATTGATTAACGTTTTCCTTTTTCCGGCAAAGTCACATGACAACATTGGGCGATGGAAAGAATGCCGTCGTTTTAACATCGACCCTTCGGGTGAAATCGGTTTTGTTCGTTTTTGATCGGAAGCAACAATCGTAAAGCAGAATACAAAACTAAATCTTTGGTAGCATGTATCGAAATATTACTGCAAGGGTAATTTGCACTTTTTAACTGAGAAACTCTTGTATTGATGGTTGAGGTTACTTGTTTGCTTAGGAAATTTACTTTCAGGTCATTTTTTTTGACTAGATATCGTTTGAAACCACCATAGTAAACCAAATCTTGTGCACCGCATTTTCAGCAATTTTTTTTTCTAACAGCAAACATGTCATTTGCCAGTGGCTTGCTGGTCAATTGAATTCGTTTGACCTCACCCAATAATTGCTTGCCGCTATATTTGTTCGCGGAAATGGGACATCACGACTTTTGTTTAGTTTTCCGATCCAGTAGGAAACGCTTGCTATAGTGGCCTCCTAGGAAAAAATTATTTTATGTTTGTCTTCATGCCACCCCTTGCTCGTCAGAAAGATAAATGTTGTATACAGAGGAATCGTTAACTAGTTTTTAATCCTGACACTAGCGGGGTACCAGAATCTAGCTGTTATATTATCTTCTTTCGTTTAGTTAACTAACAAACACCCATTCCTTACCGGGCAATGTGATGTCTCTGCAGCCACACTTCTCCACTATATACTTTGAATGGCACGTCAGCATACAAGAAGAAGTCGTGTACTTAGAGAAACCAGGAATATTGCTGATGGTAGACATGGAACAGTTGGTTTCATATGGTGCCTCGAGGTTAATGACCTAGGAGTTAAGGTAATTTAAGGCTTACACATTCTACTTGAAAAATGAACTTATAAGGTGCGAGTGATAACCCGAAAAGAGTATAAAATTGGCTTCGGCGATCTTCACCCAACGTAAAAGATAAAGTCAGCTTACGAAGCAGCTCGCTCATCAGGCCGAAGCTTATCCCGGTTTCTGTATAGCAGGAAGCGACTAGGAGTATTTCTATTCCCCCTGGATGGGATGCTAGTCCATCGCAGGGTTACCCCCAACATGATATTCGCCGGTACCTATTTACACACCTGGGTGCGATACTATTTTATTTTGTTCGGCGCATGTCAACTCGTTTGTTCATGGAAAGTCCACCGGGAAATAAAATGTAAATGCTCTATACCAACAACTACCTTTTGTTTGCTGAGCGCGGCAAAAGTGGTCGTACCCGGGCCGACCGCGAAACCTAGTTCTTCAACCATAGGTGGTGTCTCTTGATCATGTATGAGGACCATGAAGCCAGCTTGATCCGCCACCAAACTAACATACTCATCTTGCTGTACATCAAGCACTAGGTTTAGTCCAAACTTGGATCCAGCATTCCTCACTCTTAATATATCTCGACCTTCCTTGCCTGGTGATGTTAATAAATAAATTATAAATGAATATATAAATTACAAATTACAGCCTTAGCTGGTTTTCGCGCGCTTTTCACGCGCTGGTCGAGTTTGAATTTGGAGACGTTTTTCGGTGGAGGGCGGAGAACCGGGCGGCGGAGAACCTGGCTCTGGGAGCAAGGCGAGAACCAACAACAAACTGAACCACAAGTGACTCCGGGTCGAAATCGAGCCTGGGCCACATTAAGGTTACCTAATACCTTTCAGGGGTGTTTCGCGTGAGAGCGATGTAGCGCGTCCGGTTTAAGATGTAGATACCAAAACCCCTATATCAAATTAAAGCTTATAGAGTTGGCTATCAAACTATACCAAGAAATTTGAAATAAAATGAATTGTCGAATTTTTCACGACCACTGAATGCGAGCGCCCGAATCACATTTTGAAAGCTACAAATCAAAGCAAATTTTGTTTTTCTCCAATTTGGTTTTTTCTTCGGTTTCAGGACCCAAAGCACTAAAAAAAAATGTGTCTGCGTTTTGCCATATTCAATTGCAGTAAAAAGTTACAGAACATTTTCAAAATAAGATTTAAAAAACGTGAAGTGATCATACAAAAATCGGTCTCGGAGAAAAAGTATTTATAAACTATATAACCGGGGTTATAACCCCAGTTTGGTTTCACAACAGTTTGAGAAAGCCTAGTCTATTTCTAGAGAAACGTTGCTTCAACCTCAGCCTAAGGAGTCCAAACAAATTTTTCCACTGGTGCTTGATTTCAACCCTCGCTTACCCACCATTGGAAAAATTATTACGAAGAACAAGCACTTAATTTATGATTCACCATCTCTAAAAAAGATTTTTCCGGTAGGGTCCATCATTCCTGCTTTTCGTAGAACCAAAAACATGAAAGAAATCTTGAGCAGTAAGCCTCGTGAGCAACATCGCGCGCCCGATAATCAGCGGGGTTGCTTTAAGGACGGTGCCTACTTTTTTTACTGCGCATACTTTCTGCGCATCACACAAGGCATGGTTTACGTGCCATGCGCGCGCTGGGGTTGACACTGACGCAATCAACTACGCTACCAAGTACACGACTAAAAGAAAGCAAAATTTTCCAACTGTGACCAAATCAAGGTTAAT